ATCTGGGAAGCAGCGGTCCGCTCGGCCAAGAAGCATTTACTTCGCATTATGGGCCAACAGTTATTGCGATATCATGAGCTTTTAACGCTATTGACAAGGATTGAAGCTTGTCTAAATTCACGACCAATTGTAGCCTTACATGATGACCCCGAAGGAGGACTGGCCTTAACGCCAGGTGATTTCATCATTGGCCGACCAATCAATTGCCGTCCTGAGCCACCATTACCAGATATACCGTRCAACCGCCTCCATTATTGGCAGCGTTTGCAAGTAATGTTCGAACAATTTTGGAAATGCTGGCAAAATGAGTATCTGAATTCGCTTCAGGCCCGTAGCAAGTGGATGGGGCCTGAACCGAACCTCAAAATAGGAGATGTCGTACTTATTCGAAACGAGAACTTGCCACCCGCCTGTTGGCACATGGGTCGTATCACGGACACCCATCCTGGCAGCGATGGTCTTGTCCGCGTCATTACGATAGAATACAATGGAGATCGGTTGACGAATGAAGGCATGTACGTCAAACGCCACTGTTAACGTCCTGTACAAAAGGTGTTAAGACTAACCGGAATACAAGAAGAAATTCTGAACCGCGAGGGTTCAGCCGGGGAGGATGTTCGAGATTGAAATATYGTATAGGGTATAATCCCCCATCTAAGTTGGCATACGCTACGCCTRTGGGATWAATATCGCCTGATTGTAGCGTTATTTCTTCTAATACTTTGTTCTTTGCATTCAGCTATTGACTGTCTAGCATGTACATACATATGTTAGCGACGCTGACTGAGGCCTACTCTATATATGCACACCGCTAGCATATGCTCTATTCCCGAAATCCTAATAGTTTACATACATATCTACATTTTAAGTATAAGCGCATCTATTCGCTAGCGCATCTATTCGCTCTAGTGTATTACCTATTGATGTGCAGTTATTATCATTGCATTTTTGAACATATGCCTACTGCACAAGCAGGCATGTAATTGCCGCTCTTTGCGGATTTGTATCAGTGCTAAAAATAAAGTTGTGACGATAGGTCATATCAATTGCAGTTCCTCGTGTTTTATTCAAATATTATACAGGTATTTTAAATCTTCGTCTCCTAAAGAGATCCAAAGTTGGTTTTTGAAAACATTTATGGGTACTTCTACGGCTGGAATTAGATTGYGAGATGAGCTGTCATCTGAATGTGTGGCTACTGAAAAAGAATTTATTTCGAATGGTCTTGACTATGTTGGCTTTACCAGGTTTATATCTTAATTCGTAATTATATTCTTCGAGTATGGCTTTCCACCGTTTWAATTTAGAATTATTGTTTTTATTGCTTAAGGCGWATGTGAGAGGTTGATGGTCTGTATGGATTACTACTTTTGCCGTTCCATAGAGATAATTTCTAAAAGTATTTAATGCCCAAATAATAGCAAGCATTTCTTTTTCATT